AACAAGATCAAGGGGAAACAGTTTGATGATGAGAAACTAAGCCGAATTCGGGATATGGTGTTGCGAGGAGAGGCTAAAGAAGCAATAATGGATGAGGAAGGTGTTTTGAGAATTAAGGGAAGGGTATGTGTGCCCCGTATTGATAATTTGATCCACACTATTCTCACAGAGGCTCATAGTTCCGGATATTCTATACATCCTGGTGCAACCAAGATGTACCGTGACCTAAAGCAACACTTTTGATGGAGTAGAATGAAGCGCGACATTGTTAATTTTGTTTCCAAATGTCCAAATTGTCAGCAAGTAAAGTATGAACACCAGAGGCCTGGAGGCACACTTCAGAGAATGCCCATTCCTGAATGGAAGTGGGAAAGAATTGCAATGGACTTCGTGGTTGGTCTTCCAAAGACATTGGGGAAGTTTGACCCTATTTGGGTAATTGTGGACAGATTAACTAAGTCTGCTCACTTCATTCCGGTCAAGGTGACTTACAATGCAGAGAATTTAGCCAAACTTTACATTTCGAAAGTTGTGCGATTGCATGGAGTTCCACTTTCCATTATATCAGATAGAGGTACGCAGTTTACTTCTAAGTTTTGGAAAACATTGCATGCGGAATTGGATACTAGGTTGGATCTTAGTACTGCATTTCACCCTCAGACCGATGGTCAGTCTGAGCGAACGATCCAAGTGTTGGAAGATATGCTTCGTGCATGTGTGATAGAATTTGGAGGCCATTGGGATAACTTTTTACCCTTAGCGGAGTTCTCATACAACAATAGCTATCACTCGAGTATCGATATGGCCCCATTTGAGGCACTGTATGGGAGAAGATGTAGGTCTCCCATTGGGTGGTTTGATGCATTTGAGGTTAGACCCTGGGGTACTGACCTTCTGAGAGAATCCAGAGACAAAGTGAAATGCATTCAAGAAAAGCTTTTAGCGGCTCAAAGTAGGCAGAAGGAATATGCAGATCAGAAGGTTAGAGACTTGGAGTTTATGGAAGGTGAGCAAGTCTTGCTAAAGGTTTCGCCCATGAAAGGGGTGATGCGGTTTGGTAAGCGAGGTAAGCTTAGTCCGAGGTATATTGGTCCCTTCGAAGTTCTGAAGCGCGTGGGGGAGGTAGCTTATGAATTAGCCTTGCCCCCAGGACTGTCAGGGGTGCATCCGGTATTCCATGTGTCTATGTTGAAAAGATACCATGGGGATAGAAACTATATTATTCGTTGGGATTCAATTTTGCTTGATGAGAATTTATCTTATAAGGAGGATCCTGTTGCTATTTCAGATAGAGAAGTTCGCAAGTTGAGGTCAAGGGAAATCGCATCTATCAAAGTTCAATGGAAGAATCGGCCGGTTGAAGAATCCACTTGGGAGAAAGAGGCTGATATGCAAGAAAAATACCCACACCTGTTCACAGATTCAGGTACTCCTTTTCGCCCTTGTTTTTCTTCTTGTGATCGTTCGAGGACGAACGATGGGTAAATCAGTATCTATTGTAACGACCTGTTTAGTCGTTTTGAGCAGCAGATTTATTTCTGGAAAAACTGGCTGAGACGACGGATCCCACGACGGACCGTCATGGGCACGATGGACCGTCGAGGGGGTCTCGTTCCAAAACACTTAGATTTCTGAAATTTGGGTACTGAAATCGACTCTCCGAACTTCGTGACGACATGGCAGGACGGACCGTCGTGGGCACGACGGACCGTCACAGACTCTTCAGGGAATTGAGTCTCTGAACTCTGTGACGGAAGCAGCAGGACGGACCGTCGCAGGCACGACGGGCCGTCACAGACTGCGTAATCCCAGGCTGGGTCAGATTTCTGTTAAATATTTTTAGAGGCGTTTTGGACTATTTCCTGCTATAATTATAAAGTTAGTGGGTTAATGTTAATAACCTAATTACTTGAGGGTTAAAAGAGATAACCTTGAATTAATTAATGGGTTAATTCATCATCTTTTATACTTAATTATATGCTAATTAAGGTAAAAGAAAGAGGGTTGAATAAGAAAAATAGAAAGAACAAAGAGAGGGAGAAGAACGATCAAGAGAGAGGAGAAACGAAGAATTTGCTTGCTTGATCACTAATCTTCGGTGGAGGTAGGTTATGGTTTTTATACTATTTGTAGTAAACTCTTAATAGCGAATGATATGTATTGGGTAGTCTTGTAAACCCTTCTATATGCTTAATTGTATGCTTGCATGAATGTCATTATATAATTGTGATAAAATAAGCATGATGAAGCTATTGAATCCTAAATCTTGAAAACCCTAATCTACTTTGTTAATGATGGTGCCTTGGTATAAAAGAAGGCTTGATGGACATGTAGTGAGATTAGGGGATCGGGTGTCACGTTCCGGTACCAGGATAGTATATGAGGATCGGAGTGTCATGTTCCGACACAAGGATAGTTTATGGATCGGGTGCCACGTTCTGGTTCCAGGATAGTATATGAGGATCGGAGTGTCACGTTCCGACACCAGGATATTTTATGGATCGGGTGCACGTTCCGGTACCAAGATAGTATATGAGGATTGGAGTGTCACGTTCCGACACCAGGATAGTTTATGGATCGGGTGTCACGTTGCGGTACCAGGATAGTTTATGGAAGAGGTCGGAAAATACCAATTACAAATGATGGTAACTCAACTGAAGCTTGTGTGGAAGCATTAGGAATACAAGAGCATGTACCAGCTCAAAGAGAAGAAACAAGTTCTGAAGCTGAGGATGCTAGAAACACCACAGTAGTTAGAAAACTGAGCTTAGACCCACTAGGAACTGATGAGAAGTGTTTGGGAACTCAGATCTAAAAGGGTTTGAAGATGAAAGTAAAATAGATGGTAATGGAACAGTAACAACGAACTTAGATGAGAAGCTAAGTGAAGAAGAAGGAAATAAGATTGATAATGAACAGGAGAAGAAGACTAATGAGCCATGGGTTAACATGTTTAAGAACAATCGCGTATCTAGCAATGGAATGCAACTAACCTACTTTCCTCCACAGGTAGTTAATGGCCAAACAATGGTGCAGTTGGAGGAGAAAGAGGTACAAGAAGAACAACATAAAAGGAAGTGTGCTCTTATTGCATATGTGGTTGGTGAATGCCATGGGTATAACACTATGAAGAGATATATAATGATGAACTGGTTGAGTGTGATCAAACCTGAAGTTTTTCTTCATGAGGATGGATATTACTTAATCAAATTTCAAAAGATCAGTGACATGAATGAGATTTTGTTCTCAGGGCCATATACTATCAACAATCGACCAGTCATTCTGAAGCAATGGTGTCCTGAGTTTGATCTAGGAAGTGAATTCTTAATAGAGATTTCATTATGGGTGAACTTTCCAAAACTGCCTCTAAACTGCTAGGGTGTGGGATCATTGAGTAGGATTGCAAGTGTTATAGGAGTTCCCCTTTTTGCTGATGAATGTACCACTAAGCAAACTAGAATATCATATGCTAGAATGCTTGTTGAAGTTAATGTTACAAAAGCTATACCTCAAAAGATAACAGTAGTGGATCCAAATGGGAAGACCTTTATGCAAGACGTTGAACTAGAATGGAGGCCTCAATATTGTGATAAGTGCCAGAAGATAGGGCATGTGTGTAAGATGGAACAAGCAGCAAAAGAAGAGATGCCAAAGAGAAGAAGGCCTTGGAAAGAAGTAACTCAAACCTGGCAATATAAAGGCCCAATTTCACAAACAATTGAGCAATAAAAGGTGGATGAACAAAGGCAAGAGATCAATATTAAGCCACAGGAAGAACAACAGGAGAAGGAACAAGGGATAGTACAGAAGTTAGATCAACAAACACCAAAGAATGATAAACAAACTAATGTAGATGGACAACTAGACCTGAGTTTGGCTAATTTTCCTATGCTGAAAGCTATACCGACAAGGAATGGCTTTGAGAGCCTCATGCATAATAAAATGACTTCACTTTCTGTTGATAGAGGTGGAGCCCCAAAGACTTGTTGATGAAGTGGTTTTTCTGGAATGTGAGAGGTATGAATAAGAGGTATAAGCAGAAGGAGATTAAGCTGATGTTACATCAGAATAAAGTTAATATGGCAGGGTTAATTGAAACAAGAGTTAAGGAGAAAAATATGAAAACAGTTCTTAAAGGGATAGTGCCTGGGTGGAAGATTATTAATAACTATAATGATAGTCCTAATGGAAGAATCTGGCTGGTTTGGGATGATAATTGGTATGAGATTAAGGTGATTAATAGTTCAGCTCAATTCTTGCACTGTCAAGTTAATGAGAGAAGCAAAGATTATCAGTTTATAGTACCTATAGTGTATGGTTTTAATACAGTGGAACAGAGAAAAAGTTTATGGTAGGAAATGAAGACAATGTCAAAAGGTATTACTCAGCCTTGGCTCATTGCAGGAGATTTTAATGCTATTCTTTCTACTCAGGATTGGTTAGATGGAGGGTCTGTTACTAAGAATGAAATACAAGATTTTGGTGATTGTTTGAGAGATATGGAGGTCACTGAATTGCAATGGAAAGGGAACTACTATACCTGGAATAATAAACAGTGTGGAGAAGATAGAATATCAAGCAGAATTGATAGAGCATTTGGGAATGATGAATGGATGGATAAATGGGGACATGTCACTACTGAGTATGGGAATCCAAGTATATCTAATCATAGCCCTATGATGATAGTATTACAAAAAACTCACCAGTATGGAAAAGTCAGCTTTAAATTCTTTAATATATGGACTGAACATGAAAGTTTCATGGATAAGGTGGAAGAAGTATGGATAAAAGACTATGTGAATAGCAAAATGAAACAAGTGTGGTGGAAATTGAAGGACCTTCAGCCAGTTTTAACTCAGTTGAATAAAAAAGAGTTTGAATATATTGGGAAGCAGATTGAGATGGCTAGAGTGGAAATTGCAAAAGTCCAAGATCAACTAAAAGAGAAAGCTACTGATGAGATAGTTGGGATGGAAAAAGAGTTACTAATCAAGCTGGAAAAATGGTCATTGATAGAAGAAAGTGCTCTGAGGCAGAAGGCAAGGATAAAATGGATTCAATTAGGGGATGCCAACAATAAGTTCTTCAGCTCAATTATATAGGAGAGAACTCAAAAGAGACAAATAAGGAATATTATGTCTTTGAAGGGTAAGATGTTATATGCTCAGAATGATATTCAGGAGGAGTTTGTGAGCTTTTACAAGAGTCTTATGGGAACTTCAGCAGGCAATCTACCAGCCATTAATACTCAAGTGATGAAAAGCGGGCCTACTCTAACAAAGCAGCAGAGGATACAACTATGTGTTGAGGTAACAGAACAGGAGATATATGAAGGTTTGAAGTCCATAGGGAATGATAAGGCTCCAGGTATAGATGGATATAATGCTTACTTCTTTAAGTATACTTGGCAGATCATTAAAAGGGATATCATTGAGGTTGTTCAGAGTTTTTTCACAAAAGGCAAATTGTACAAGGCTTTTAATAGTACTCTAGTGTCTCTTATCCCAAAAGTTCAGAATCCTAAAACAGTGAAAGAATACAGGCCAATAGCTTGTTGTACTGTGGTTTATAAGATCATCTCCAAAGTTCTAACTAATAGGCTGCATAGAGTGATTCAGTTATCTGTGACAGCCAAGCAGGATTCATCCCAGGAAGGAAGATCTCTGATAATATAGTGCTTGCTCATGAGCTGGTTAAAGCTTATACTAGGAAACATATCTCTCCTAGGTGCATGTTGAAGATTGATTTACAGAAGGCTTATGATTCAGTGGAATGGGCATTTTTGGAGCAAGTAATGTATGGTTTAGGATTTCCTAAGATGTTTGTTCAATGGATAATGAAATGTGTCAAAACTGTGAACTATTCTATAGTAGTTAATGGGCAGGTTTCACAAAGTTTTGAAGCAGCTAAAGGGTTGAGACAAGGAGATCCAATGTCTCCTTTTCTATTTGCTATAGCAATGGAGTATCTTAGTAGGACACTTAAAGGTCTTAAAGATGATAAAAAGTTTAAGTACCATCCTAAGAGTTCAAAGCTTGATGTTACTCATCTATGTTTTGCAGATGACCTTTTATTGTTTGCTAGAGGTGATTTGAGTCTGTCAAAGCCATTCAATTATGTTTCTCTCATTTTTCCCAAGCTTCAGGGTTACAGCCTAACCTCAATAAAAGTTCAATATATTGTGGAGGTACAAATAGAAGTGAGGCAACAGATTGTTCAGCAACTAGGATACAACATGGAAGAATTGTCTTTCAAATACTTGGGAGTTCCATTATCAACCAAGAAAATATCAGTTATGCAATGGCATCCACTAATTGATAGAATAATGTCAAGAATAAACTCATGGACAGCTAGGAAACTATCTTATGCAGGGAGAGCTCAAATGGTGCAGACAGTGCTATTTGGTGTTCAATCTTATTGGGCACAATTGTTCATCTTTCCAGCTAAGATAATCAAGTTGATTGAGAGTCTATGTAGAAGCTATTTATGGTTAGGAGATGTACATGTTACTAAGAAGGCTTTAATAGCATGGGAGCAAGTTTGCAGGCCTAAAAGTGAAGGTGGCATGGGGCTGATAAACATGCAAGTGTGGAATAGAGCAGCAGTAGTTAAACTCTGTTGAGACTTGGCAAATAAAGAAGACAAGTTATGGATCAAATGGATTCATGCTTATTACTTAAAAGATCAGGTTGAATGGCAGAAGAGAGATCAAGCCAGCTGGATGATCAGGAAAATTATGAATGCCAAGCACATAGTTGATCAGTGTCAACCAAGGCAAGGAAAAGGGGTGATCAAGCACATTTATGACTATCTTAGAGGGGAGAATATCAAACCTGAATGGAGGTGCTTAATGTTTAAAAATGCAGCCAAACCAAAAGCTAGTTTTACCCTATGGATCTTGATGAACAGGAAGCTAGCAACAGTGGATAGACTTACTAAATGGGGAATGACACTTGATAGAGATTGTGTACTGTGCAAAAGTGCAGAAGAGAGTATGGAGCATTTGTTCATCCAATGTCACTATGTTGAAGCAGTATGGGAGAGGCTACTAAGGTGGATTAATGTACATAGCAACATGCCAAAGACTTGGACAGAGTTTATTCAATGGTGTGTTAAAAATGGGAAAGGGAAGACTGTTAGAGCTCAAATATTTAAAGGGGTACTTGGAGAAGGATTCTATGGGCTGTGGAATGAAAGAAACAAGAGATTTTTTGAAGAAAAGAGTAGCTTGATTGATGAAGTTGTTAAGAGGATAGCTTATGTAACTATAGCTAGATTTTCCAATAGTTTTATCAATGTTATTAAGCATAGGAAGATTTGAGTCTATAGTTATTAGAGTAGTGTTATACAGTTGTTTTATTTGGTTTAAGCATGCTGGTTTAGCTGCTTGTTTTGTAAAGTTTTATCTCGGTAATTAATAAAAAAAGTTAGTTACCCAAAAAAATAATGACGATAATAATAATAATAATAATAATAATAATAATAATAATAATAATAATAATAATAATAATAATAATAATAAGAAGAAGAAGAAGAAGAAGAAGAAGAAAAAGAAGAAAAAAAAGAAGAAGAATGATAATGATAATATTAATAATAATAATAATGAAAAATAATAATAATAATAATATAAATAATGACAATAATAATGACAATAATAATAATAATAATAATAATAATAATAATCATAATAATAATAATAATAATAATAATAGTAATGAAAATCATAATGACAATAATAATAATAATAATAATGACAATAATAATAAGAATAAATAAATAAATAATAATAATAATAATAGTAATATTAGTAATAAGAAGAAGAAGAAGAAGAATAAGAAAAATAATAAAAATAATAATAAGAAAAAGAATAATAATAATAATAATGACAATAATAATAATAATAATAAGAAGAAGAAGAAAAA